GCGCGGCGGGGCGCTGCAGGAGGCCGTTGCCGCCCAGTTCTCGTCCCGTGTCGCGCCCTCCGTCGAGGCGGCGACCCGCCAGATGTTCGGGCAGATAGAGTCCGCGCTCTCCGGCTGGCTGGCGGAGAGCCGGCAGCAGGCGGCGGGCAGCGGGCTGGCGGCGGCGGTGGCGCAGCTGCAGGCGGTGGCGGGGTCGTTGCAGCGCGAGGTGGCCGAGGGCCACAGGCAGCTGGTGCGGCTGGCCAGCCAGGGATCTGCCGCGGGCGCCACCAGCAGCGGCGGCGCGGGCGGCGGCCGGTCAGGCGGCGGCGGCGGCGGCGCGGCCGCGCCCGTGGACCCGCGCGCGCGCGTGTCGGCGCTGCTGGCGGCGCGCGACTACGACGGCGCCTTCAACGCGGCCCTGTCCGCCGCCAGCCCCGACCTGCTGACCTGGACGTGCCGCCAGCTGTCGCCCGCCCAGCTGGCGGCCGCCGAGCCGCCGCCGCTCAGCCAGATCTGCCTGCTGTCCCTCGTGCAGCAGCTCGGCGCCAACCTCGGGACGCCCGTCCTCGGGAAGGCCGACGCGGACCTGCGGCTCGACTGGCTGACGGAGGTCGCGCCGCTGCTCGAGCCGTCGGCGCCGGCGATCGCGCCGCACCTGAGGGGCGTGCTGGGATCAGTCATGGCCGGGCTCAAGGCGCTCGCAGGGCAGCTGCCGCACACGGACCCCGTCGGGCGCAAGGCCAAGCTCGCGATTCATGTAGTGAACTCGCTGCTGCACCAGTAGAAAATCGCGCGACGCGCGCGGCGCCGCGCCCCGCAGGTCCTCCCGTGACCGCCGTCGCTTCGCCGTGCGGCTTCCGTGCCAGCGCAAGGCGTGGCCTGCCATAGGGGCCGGCCAGCCACGGCGACGGCATTGGTACAGTTGCGTGGCGCGCCGCACACTCTTCCTCCCGCTTCTTCCGCGGCCCCTTTGTGCTGGGCCGCTGGGCCGCTCTTCTTCTTTTAAATAATATCATGTAATCGTGCAACTGTTGAAGAGGACAAGAATGCTGAGGGCAGCTGCTTCTCTTTCCAGCTGCTTCCACCCTCGCTGCTAAGCTCGCCTAGTCATACTCTGAGCGCACATGTGCCTACATTGTTACTGTTTTTGCCACTCCGCTGCGATTTCATGTTTTGACGGGTTGCAAATACTCGATTCGTGATGCAGCGGCCCATGGGGGCGGCCCGGGCCCAGGGGGCGGCCCCGTGACAGCAAGCGCAAACGGCAAGCGGCCGGCTGGCGCCAGCCGCAATCCCATCAAGGAGCAGTGACGCCCCAAAACACGAGATTGCTTGGCATCAATGCAGGCCGGGCCGAGCGCAGCAAACCGATTGGCGGCTCCGCAAGATCCACCACAGCCCAGACCTGGGGGCCTTGGGGGGCCCACGCATTTGCGCAGCACTCCCTGTGAACTTGTTGGCTCGGCTGCGCGTGCTTGCGCTGGCCCGGCGCAGCGGCCAGCGCGCCGCCTGCGCCGCCCGGCCAACCATCCGCAACCAGCTTTGCGTGATTTGCAACGATGGGGTCAGGGGCCGGCGGCCCGCGTGCCGTGGGGCGCGCCAGCGCGCATGGGGGCGTGCGCAGCCGAGAGGCGGCCGTGGCGCAACTAGCGCGACGCGCGGCGCATCAGCGTGAGACGGGAAATGCCTGCAGCATTTGTGATGTTGGGCTGGCTGTCGTTCTGCCTTGTGAAGTAAATAATAAATAATCTCCTTCTCACCTCCTTCCGAACAGCTGAGGCGCAGTAGGTATACGCCTATAGGGAACCTCAAAGCGCCCCGCCGACAGGCCAGGCGGCTTCGGACAATGGCCAGGGCACACCAGACTGATCAGGGCCAACACAACTGATTAGGGAAGGGCGGCCGCAGCGATTCCGGGGCAGCAGCCCAGGCGCTGCGGCGCCATAGAGCCACCCGCCAATCGGATGCGTTGAGGCTCAGGCCGCGTGCGCGCGCGCCCAGGGCAGCCCCCGGCGTCACGCCTGCGGCCGGCCGTTCGAGGCATTATAAACGACCCACGCAAGCGAGGCTGGGATCCGGACAAAGGCGCAACAGGTGATGAGGAGACGGATGGCGGGCACCAGGCGCGAGACGCCAGGCGCCCGCCGGGGCGCAGCCGGTGGCGATCGCAGAGCTAAATCGGTGCATAATCTGCGGCTAGCGGCCGGCGAGGCCCGCCTGCATTTGGTGCCGCGCGGCATGGAGGTCACAGAGACTATGCTGAGAAAAGCCATACTGCTCGACGCGGACGCGGGGGAGGAAGTGATTGAGGTGAAACGCAGGCCGCAGCCACCCCAGAGCGCCAACGTCGGCACCTGAAGAGGCGCCGGCGCCGGGGCAGACGGCAGCCGCACAGGCCCAGCCTCACTGCCACCAAAGGGGGTCGCCGCCTTTGTGGGTGCGCCCTCTGGTGGGTGGAGTCTGGAGCGCACCACAGTGCGGCTGAGCACAAGACAGATCAGGTGGCAATTCTTGCTTGAGCGATAACCAGGGCAGTGCGGCACCCAGCGCGCCGGCCGCGCCCGCGCCGCAGACCGCAGCTGCTGCCGGTCTCGGCGGCGGCTTGCGGGCGGGCGGCAACGAGAATATTTCCTAGATCAAATCAATCAAGTGTGCCTCTTTTCTGGCCTGGGGTGGCCCAGCCAACTAGCAGCGAGCTTGTGCGCTCAAGCCCGCTTTGGTTTGCTGCGCCTGGCGCAGGGTGGGGGCGTGGCAGAGAGCACGGGCCGCCTCCCGCGCGTGCGAGGCGGGAAGGGGGGGTTTGGGGGGTGTGCGGCCAGCCGCGCGGCGGCGGGCCAACGAGGGCGGCGCGCCTTGGCTTGGCTGGCCGGCCACAGAGGGCGCCATGGGTGCGCTTGAGAGCGCGGGCCAAAGGCGCACGAAATGCAGCTAAACCGTTGCCGCACCGCTACCGCGGTTTTGCGTTGTCGGGGTTTTGGTTGAGGGGGGTCACGTGCCGCCCGCAAGGCGTGCCAGGGACGCCGAGGGAGGGTTCCTGAGTCTAAAAGTTTTTGATTTCGTTGCGGCCATGGCTACGCAAGACAGGAGTTTTGACCCCTTACTAGAGCCCGCGCAGGCGCGGCCACCTGGCGGGCGGGCAAAACCAGCGCCCAATGGAGGGGCTGTGGCGGAAGCTTTTTGTCCGTCACGGGGTCAAACACCACGGCGCCTGAGCGGCGGGGGGTTTGAAACCTGGGGTATCTCGCCCGGTGGGGTGGAGATAGGCGTTTGGGAAGGAAGGGGTTGGCGTGTGTATGTGTATACAAACAGCTCGTGTCGAGTCTGCCGAGCGGCCCGGCCGCGAGCGTGTGGGTGGGGGATAGGCGCCCGCACGAGTGCGCTGTGCGCGCCGTTGGCCGGCATGCAGGGGCGGCATCAAACACAAGCGGGTGTGTGGCCGGCCGCAGCTGCGGCGCCCCTCCCGAACCGAGGAGCGTTTGCCGTGTGGTACGAGCGAAGGCGTCGGGCCGGCTCATCATGGGAGAGCTGTTGAGCAGTTTTTGACAAGCGCAACCTCGGGTTGGCACAACCTTGGATCCGCACGATCTCGGATCGGCGCCACGGGGATCCATTCGATTCGGGCGCACCGAGCGTGCCGGCGCCGCCCTTTGATGCCCCCGCACGTGCGTATAGCGGCTGTGGGCGGCAGCTGGGTGGGCGGGCTGTCCCGCGGGCGCCAAGGCCCAAGGGGCGGTGCAGCGGCGTTGCAGGCTTGCGACCGCCCCACGATGCGATTCGGCACCCGTGTACCGCCCCAAGTACATATGCGTGGCAATGAACCTGCCTTGAAACGGACGCACGAGGGCGCTGGCTCCTGCATTGCGCAGAACCCACCATCAAGGGCGCCGCGACCCAAAGGAAGTAAGCCGGCGTCATCACTAGACAAATGCCATGCATATATGGGCTGAGCCGCGCGCAGGCCAGCCCCGAGGGGTCCTGGGGTAGCAGCAGGGGTTCATTGGGGTGCGATTTGGCCGTGCAGGGCCTGCTTGAGAGTCGTGGCGGCAACACCGGGCCTAGGCCCGCCGCAACCCTGGCGTTTCAGCAGTGGTGCCTTGAAAACGACGGAGCGCAGGCACCCGCGCGCCGGCCTCGCCGGTTGCCACTGGGTCTAAATGCGTATTCGACAGATGATGTGTAAGGAGAGCAGTGCTGGTGGCTTGCCCTGCTTGTCTAGGAACGCAGATGCACGTCCAAGACGGGTGCCATGCGGGCGCAAGACGTTTGCGTTTGTGTGTTTACGGACGAACGATTGCCGTGCTCGCTGCGGGTGGGACGGCGGATGACCCGTGCGGCCCTGAACACACGGGGCGTCGGCCCCGCGCAGTGACCACTGCAGGCTGGGCCCACAACACCCAAGGACGCGTCGGATCGCATTATGCACACCAGATCAGATCACGAGTCCCCGATCAGCAGCATGCGCAGGCTGCTGTCGGCTGCGGCTATGGCGCAGCTCAGGCCGCCGTCGTCTAGTATGCTGTGGGGGGAGGGCTTGAAGGGCGACCCCACAAACCCGAGGGACGCGCCAAACCCCAAGCCACGCTCGCCCGCGCCCGACAGGCCCTGGTAGCCGCCGGCGCCCGCGCCGGCGTCCGGGGACGTGTGGTTGCTCGCGTCCGAACCGGCCGGCGACGGCAGGCGCCGCGGCGCCGCCGCGGCGGGCGCCGCGG